TTACGGACAAGAATTTTACAATTGCGCGTCCAGACATATTTATAACCATTTTCTTTAGCCGTGGCCCTAGCGGCGCCGAACAGTTTTTTATTCGCTACAGTAAGGTGTTCATTGATGAAACATTGCTGTGATAGGCCATCAATCAAAAAACCAGGACGGGAACCCTTGGGAAGGGAGCGCTTCTTGGCAATGGCAGCGGCGAGAAAAGAATCGCGTTTGGTACGATTGCAGAAACGCACGACGATGTTCTTTGGTCGACTCACATCGCCGATGTGAGGTACTCGATGTATAGCGTCAATATCATCACATTTTAACGGGACCTCGAGAAAGCCGACGATTTTATTCATAACAACGACAATGTTTTCGTTGGCCGCCTCAGGTACGCCCTGTATCTCCAGATTGTTACGTCTGGAGTACTGATCCAAGTCCGCAACCCTAACCGACAAGGTGTCGACCTGTTTCCTCAACCGTACATTATCGGAAGAAAGGCTATCAATAACCATGCACTTTTCTTTGATAAATCGGCTATTTGATCGCTGCAGAATTGAACCGAGGTCATTAGCTCATCATTTCTAGCTTTCATAGATCTAAGCTCCGAACGTATCTCGCTAACCATCTCATAGACAGCCTCGATTGTCGGAGTGGAGGCCACACCGCGATTATCGAAGTCATGCGGCAACATAGTTTTTCTACGGTTAGAAGACGGACGGCAACCAGGACACTGCCATGACGAGCCTGGGGCGGAGAGCGCCGAGGCCGCAGCTTTGGAGAGCTCCACGCATTTGGCGTTGAATTCCCGCTTTATCTATTTTTATCTATTTTATGCAGAGATAAGTTTGAAAAATCAGTAATAAAATTTTTTTTTCTTTGTAACTTGATCTGGGGACATACTGTATATAAACCACTATTCTACTATATACAGGTGATTCAAAAAAATTCCGGCAGATTTCTAGGGCAGGTAATACATCAAAAATTAAGATGAAAAGCCTTAATATACATGGGGTCGCAAGTGCCTCCTTAACGAGATATAGCGGGTTTATAATTAAACATTGCAATAAAAATATTTTAGAGAATTTTAGTAACATTTTATGGAACCAGTTCAAGTTGGTGACATTGGGTCATTAATTTTTCTAGTTGTCAGTGTGACAATTTTCGTCTATGGATGTTTAAACACGTTCTTAGCATCGAATACAAATAGGTCTACAATGAAAAAATTTTTTTTTACATTTTGTGTTTTGACATTTCTAATTGTCAATTCAAATTTCAATTTGAAGTGTTACCAACTGCTACATATCTATTTCCCTACATTATCAAAATTTATATAATTTTTTATAAAAAAAGGATAAAAACGCGAATTACAAAAAATAGTATAAAAAACACGTTTCATAAGACTTGAAGCACTCATTGAACTTGAATTCGTGCATTTCAATCGAGTCTTACGAAACATGTTTTTTAATATGCTATTATACAGGATGTCTCACGTAAGCTTTTTTTGGCAAATTTCACCATGCTCTTTAAAACCTTATATCCCAGCCAACGTTCATTCAAAAAAGCTCTAAATTGGCACGATTACTCTTTAGATGCTCTCAAATAGATTGTCATATATTGTATCAGAGTATCTTATACAGGTGGTCAAAAATTGAATTACCGTTTCTCTATATTCAATGGGGAGAAAGTCGAAAATTTTAAATGGAACGCCCCATATTTTATTAGCCTACACGAAAGGGAATTTAATTCTCTACAATTTATCTATAAACATTCCTATACTTATTTATTGTAGTTTCTCTCATATTCGTAAATTTATCAAAACATGCAGGAAATCGTTTGTATTTTTATTAGAAGGCCATAACATTTTGACAGTTTTTTTGTTTAATTTATTTCTATTATTATTTGTACTATTAACTACGATTGATAAATCTTTTAGTTTACTAGCTTTTACTTACCAAAAATAACAAATAAATGAAACTATTAGAACAAAAAGTTAATGACAAAAATTAGATTTGAATAAAAACATAAATTTATAATATAAATTTATTACTAAATTGAATTTGGAAATGCAATAAAATACATTAAATTATTTATTTCGCTGTCTTCATCACTGGTGACCGGAAATATGCGATTTCTTTTGGTCTCGATATATCCAGAACTAATAAATTCTTTATCAATTTTTTGAAATTTTTCCTTGTGATGGGCGTTAGGTTTGTTAGGCATCTCTCATTAAGTGATCGACACGTCTTGTGCGAAAGTTTATTACATTCGCCATCAATACAAAATAAATTTCAAATATCGGCGGTGGAATAATTTACCATGATGTTTAATAACTTACACCCGTCGTCAAATGTAACTAATGGCAACAATAATACAAACATGGATCAAAAACTGTCAAAATTCCATAGCTTTCTAATAAAAAAACCTGTATTTCGTGCATGTTTTAATAAATTTCGCAATATAAGGCAAACTGCAATAAATAGGTATGGGAATGTTTATAGATAATTTGTAGAGAATTAAACTCTCTTTCTGATAGGCTGAAAAAATATGGGGCGTTCCATTTAAAATTTTCGACTTTCTCGCCATTGAATATGGAGAAACAGTAATTCTATTTTTGACCACCTGTATAAGATACTCCGATACAACAAATGACAATCTATTTGACAACATCTGAAGAGTAATCGTGCCAAAGTAGATCTTTTTTGAATGAACTTTGGCTGAGATATGGACTTTTAAAGAGCATGTTGAAATTTACCAAAAAAAGTTTAAAACCAAAATAATTCGAAAACGAAAAACGCTAGGTACCAATAATATTTATCAAAGTCAACCTATTTTTTTACGTACAATTAAATTGTGTAATAAAAACTATAACATTCCATATAAAATAGCGAAGTTATGGTCTACTTCCGGTAGACCGAAAGTGGCGGCCATCTTGAAAATATTTTAGATCGAAAGTTCCGAATGAACAATCCATGCTACCAAAATTTCAAATCTCTACGAATAGTGGAACTTGAAAAAGTTCTAACGAACCAGTTACGTGAGACACCCTGTATAGTGTAATCTTCTGAAGATAATAAAGAAATTATATTGTATTACTTGCTTGTTGTAGTATTGCTATGACTGAGCGCATGGGAAAATGAAAATTTGTGTTTGTCATCTTGATCTAAAACCCGCCGTCTTCTTCAATGCAAGTCATTATATATTGTAGGCATTTTGCCTCATATATAATTATATTATATTCTTGTACATGTCTTGTTTGTAAGATTTCTTTAAGTTCTTCTGCCATTTCTGATACTATTTTAACCTCCCCAGCTATCATTCTTCATTTTCTTGATAGCATTTGCATTTCCTTGAGCGTTATTGGCTCTTCTTTGAAGACACATCATAAGAGGCCTATACAATTTGGAAAAAAATCGTTTTAAAACACCAGCTTAAGATAAAAAAGGCACATTTTGGATTAATTTGAAATATCTTACCTTGATTTTTTCTGTTCTAATTGGGTCAGCAAGGTATTGGATTGGGATTAGTTTCCTTTTTATTTCTTTATGGAGAGGATTAGGAATTCAGAAATTAATTAATACACCACACTCCAATTCTTGATTAAAAAAGAAAGTTCTGATTAAGTCTTCAGTGTCGCATCTCTCAAGATTTAACTTAATCTTGAATGAAAGGGATCGTCCTCTTCAAATTCAATCAATTGGAATATTTGCAAAAAATATAATTTTTATTATTTAATTTAATTAAGAAATAACCTACTCAGAATTATACTTCTTTAACTTAAAATCTTTCAAACCCCCTCAAAGTATTAATTAGCATGATGAACGTCATTTTATCAAATTCTTAAAAAAAAAATGTGTTTGATTGTGACGTTTAAAATGGTTTAAATATAAAGGATTTATTATAAGAAAGTAATAGGAGAAAATACAAAGTTATGCTTAGAAAAAGATTATATAATAAAATATTATTACAAAAATGCATAAACTAGTATCTCTCTATCAAACTAAATAAGTAATACACTGATGAAAAATGACGTGTAGTCATAAAAATAAGAAACATAAAAACGGGGGAGGAGGGAGGTTTGGTGAATAATTTCTAGGTAATTATTTAGAAATGCGTGTGCATTAAACTGAGAACGTAAAAAAGAAATTTGAAAATGGAACGAATTTAATGCACAAGCGATTCTTTTTGTTATAAAATCTGTTAATTCTGCTCTTTAAGTTTTAATACAGATACTTGGCTCCGTTAATTCAATAAGTAATAAACCAATTTTTCAAAACTACTTCTTAAATAGGTAAAAACTAAAATATAATACTACGGCGTACAGATAAAATTGATGAAACAGTAACGTGTATCTAAAAAACATAACAATATACAATTAATATTATTATTTTTTTAATTTATTTTATTTTTTCACCTTTCATTTGCCTCGATTTTTTTTTAAATGGGTTAGGTTCATTAATTTCATTTTAATTGTTATGTTCGAACGCGCCCCCCTTTAGCTTTTCTTTCTTTTCACATTTTTAATTTAATATTTGTACTTTTGCGTGGTTCTAGAGAATAACAATTCCATTTCTTTATGAGAAAACTTTTTTTATGACTGCATTTTAATAATTTTAACGTTCATCCGAAAGCGGAGGGCGCGTAACACCACAATAACAAAACCATCTTTTTTTATTATTAATAAAATTTTCTTTTGGTTTTGTTCTTAATTTTTTTTTCTTTTTGATTATTTTACATGATCCGCTACCCTCCGTATTTTATTTTTTTTTTTGTATTTTTTCACTAAATTTAAATTACATCTATTAACATTTTTTAACTTATATAAAAAAAATGTACGTATAATACAAAATATATATATTTATAATGTATATTTACTATTATATGTACTATTTTCCTTTTTTTCTTTATTAAATTTTCATTTCTCTTTAATTTTTACTTTTTTTTTTGTATTGGGGTGAAATTTTACACGTTTTTTAAAAAACTGGCTGCTACATTTTGCTTCTTTTTTATTATTTTTTTTTTTTGTTGTGTTTTAGAATTGATTCAAATCGCAACGTACGCGTATGTGGATGTGTAGCACAGCCAGAGAGGCCCCCTACGGCGCCCCAACGATTATGGGGCGATTTCGAGGGCGTTTTAGGGTAATTATTTTTCTTTATTTTAATTTAATTGTAATTGTAAAAGAAACGTGGTCACACTTCGCGTCCGTTTTTAACCACACTATATACTAAAAACAATTCTTTTCGGTTTTTATCTCTTAATTTCCCTCACTTTCATCTTCATGCTTTCTCTTCTTACCCCTCGTTTGTTCTATAACATTATTATTTATTATGATTATCAAATTTAATCGAAAATACTCACCTTCTGGAGTTTCATTTTCTTCATCACCTTCCTCCTCTTCTTCTTCGATCCCATCCTCCTCCTCTTCCTCTTCCCCAGCCTCATAATCCCCTTCATCAGTCATTTCATCCAAATTCTCAGAATAAACCGCATTTAAACCAACATATTCTTCATCTTCATCACTGGTTCCTTCTATAAACATCAAAATAACATTAAATACGCCTTTATTAAACTATTTTTTTTACCATCTTCGTTCCCTTCCTCATCAGAATCATCATCATTGCCATTAACTTCATCATCAACGTCGCTTTCATCAACTTCATGTTCCTCAGCATCATAACCATCAAGGAATTTAAGACTTGGTATCAGCTTAAACACTCTCTCTCTATAATCAGCCATCATTGTAGCTTCATTATTAAAAAGATCGAGATTTCTAAGATTTTTGAAGTCTTGCAATGGTTTTAATGTTTCCAAATCTTTAATTCTGTTCCCGCTAAGGTTCAGATGGGATAACTTGGGACTTGTGGCCAAAATATTGAGGCCATTGACGATTCTGTTGTCGCTAAGTTCGAGTTTTTTTAGGTTGGGTAACCGTGGAAAACCTTTTAGTGAGGTCAAACCCACGTTGATTAAACTCAAGGATTCGAGGTTACAGAATTCGTCGGTGAGGCCGACGATGCTAGTGCTTCGGCAATTGTCCAAATTTAACTCTTTGATCTAAAACGAACACATGGATTGGGATATGTTTGGTGTTGGAGTTTTTTTGAATGAAATACTTACGTCCGCGGCATCTTTGCCGCGCTTTTCCAACTCGATACGTTTCTCCATCGTTAATAATCGATTTATTCGGGTAAAATTAATGGATGCGGTAGCCGCGCAACATCGAACGGTACGTAACCTCTGATTTTCAAATCGGCTTATAATCAAGAAGAGTGTACTTGTCAGTCATCGATTAGCCGCCACCACCAGCGTGTTGTAGATACGACTTTTCATTTAGCCTTAGAGGGGTACTTACAATAACACAGTGTAGGAACCGAAATGGCGGGAATATAATTTTACGAAATATGGCGCCAAATTTCAATTTTCAACACTCAATTAACTCATATCAACGAATTTTATGACGAATTTCGCGATTTAACGTTATAATTAAGAATACAACCAATATTAACGCGATTAATACGCAAAATTAATTTTAAATGTCTTTGCTTTCTAATTAATTATTACATACTCAATAATTCCAAGAGATGGCGCGCTATATATTAAAGATATTATTATTTTAGTAACAAATTTAAATTTATTACAAATCGGAAATATTTAATCATTTTTAAATTATTTTTACTTTTAAAACGCAATAACACTAAAATTAGGTCGAATTGGGGCAAAAATAAAATCTTTTCTTTGATAAAATAGATGTCACTACTACTATATATATAATAGGAACTAATAAAAAAAATTATTTATTACTATAATTTATTATATTTATTTATTAAATCGTTATTTCGTCAATAACTTTAAATTTAAATTTAATTAATTAAAAAGTGGATTAAAATTAGAATTAAATTTTTATTTAATTGTAATAGATGGCGCTTAAATCATAAAAAAAATGACATTTGTGGCAAATTTGAATCTTTAATCTTATTCCACATCAAATTCCATACAAACAACTTCCCCCATACCACACGAAATTGTATCCCCTGGTTTGATGATTCCGCAATTAGGTCCAGTTCCGGTAAGAATTAAATCTCCGGGTTCCAAAGTCATGTATTTCGAGCAATAAGATATCAATTGCGGTATGTTAAACACTAAATCGCTTGTATTATCCGTTTGTTGTAGTTTCCCGTTAATTTTGCACCATAATTCGACGTTATGCGGATCTTTTAGCTCTTCCAGGTCGACAAATCTGCTAACAGGACACGAGGTGTCAAATGATTTACTTATACACCATGGAAAACCTTTTTTGCGATATTCAGGCTAAAAAATGAAATAAGAAATAAAAATAACTTAAAAGATAGTTTTATCACCAAAAGATTATTTAATCCTAAATCTAAAGCTAAACAATATCCCCCCACGTATAACATTGCATCTAATTCTTCGACATCTTTGCATTTCTTTCCGATTACTACCCCTAATTCAACTTCTTCGAGGATTTCAGCCCCTTGTGGGGTCTAAAACGTAAGGATTCGTTAAGAATTGTTAATTAGAAATAATTAATTATTACTTTTATTTTATTTCCTTCTGTTATGTATGATGTTGATGATTTCATGAATATTACGGGGTTTTCAGGTTTTGGGGCTTTTGCAGCTTGGAGAGCTCGGCTGAAAAATGAAAAATTATACTCTTTGTGACAGATTAACCTAACTTTATTTTATTGAAATCTAATATAAAATTATTCGCTTTAATTAAATTAATTAGTTAAACTTACTGGTAATTAAATGCAGCCCCTAAAATTTTTTTGCCATTCTTTGTAAATTCTTTAAAACTCCCAGCCATGTTGTTCACGTCGTCCATATTATCGTGCATCACTAATCTGCGTTACGTCTGATTTTGTAATAAGTTTTGAGTTGATTAAATGTTGTAAATAAATTTATTTGTAAGAATGACTTTTAAAATTTTTGAATTTGGCGCCAATATTACCGACCGAGCGGTGAAAAGAGAAAACTCGTAGTGACGTCACGCCGAGGACATGAGTAATAAGAGTAATCCATAGCCGACTCTTCTGACTGGTTATTGTGACAGTTAAGTTAAATCTGCTCGAAACTCGGTTATATTTTCAAGATTTCCAAGCAATTAGCGTTTTTTAACTTCGTACGATACGCCGGAGATGTTTTAGTTTAAGTTCTGAGTCGTTTAAATGCAACGTTTTTATGGTTATAATCAGCATTTGTGTGATCCACTTTCTACCTATTCTTTATAAGATACAATAATGATAAAAATGGAAACGGATAAAGTCATAGGAGATACAAACAGTAACTCGCAGGTTCATTAATTTTTATGCTAAAATAATTACTTAAAAAAACCTTTTAATAACCAATGTCACATGTCAACCATCCTCTTAGTTTATACAATATTTTTTGTTGTTGATCTTGACTCTTTTTGTGTAGCATATTGGTTGTGTTTTCTTTATGTTTTAATAAGCGTTTTTTGTTCTCATGCAGTATCCCATGACAATACTGTATGACCCCGCTCGGAAAAAGGAACCTTCAGCTACATTCAACACCGAACGAGACACCTGTATAAAATATTTCGAAAAATGGAGCGAAACCGATCAAGTGGAATTCGTCGAAAACCTTTTGGCTCGAATGTGCCATTATCAACACGGTCACATCAATTCGTATTTAAAACCAATGCTACAAAGAGATTTTATATCTTTATTACCAAGTAAGATTAAAAAATACTTTTTAATTAATTAATTTATTTATTTCATTCAAAATTAAAACAGAAAAAGGTTTGGACCATGTAGCAGAAAACATCTTGTCATATTTAGACGCGGAAAGTTTATGCGCAGCTGAATTGGTGTGTAAAGAATGGTTTCGAGTTATATCTGATGGAATGTTATGGAAAAAATTAATCGAGCGAAAAGTTAGAACAGATACTTTATGGAGTGGATTAGCAGAACGGAGACATTGGTATGTCAAAAAAAAAATTATAGGTTAAGTTTTAACTGTCACTGTCTAATATTAATTCATCAGTTTCCATACCAATTTCATAAAAAAAAATTATAGGTTACATTATACAATAATAATATGTGGAGGTTTTGAATTTCTTGATACAGATGATTATAACAAATAAATTACCTCCTTAATTTCGTTTATTACAAATACTTATTTTAATCATCTGTATTATTATAGGTTAAGTTGTCACTGTCTAATATAATTCATCAAAATTTCCATACCAACTTAATAAAAAAAAAATTATAGGTTAAGTTTTAACTGTCACTGTCAAATGGACTCGTTATACATCACTTGACTAAGCGGAATTTAAGCGTTTTTAGAGTTTTTCATGCTGTTTGATAGGTAAAGGTGTAACTTATCTTAGAAAAAATGCAGAATACTGAAAGACTTAAAATACCACTTGTTTTAAAGGATAAAATTAAGCGACAATCACGTTATATGATTTCAAGTCCGATTTGCATATCTGGCCAAACAGTTCCATCTTTTAGCACATTTATCAGTTTTTAACATATTTCATTCATTTCCTGCTGGTTTCAAGAATTTCTTGATAATTTCCCAGAAATGCCAAGGATTTGAATATTTCCAAGGTTGGTGATGGATTTAGAAAGGTTTCTGGCATTTATTGATGATGGATTTAGATTTGCAACAACTCTCGGGGTATTTCCAAGAACTTTTGGAAGATTATCAATATATTTTCCAAGGAATTAAAGAATTTTCTAAGATTGCAAAGAGTCTGAACTGATGGATCTAGATTTACTAAGACTCCGAGTATTTCCAAATATTCTTAAAAGATTTTAAAGAGTACTACGAATTTATTGATGATGGTTTATTAAGACTTCAGAGTATTTTCAACAATTACTACCACGAAGAAATTTACATGCATTTCTTGGAATTTTGGATAATTTTCAAAAAATTTGAAGGATTTTAACAGATTTTAGTGGCTTCCTAAGAATTTTAGGAATATATTTGAGATGAGTCTGGATTATCAAAAACTATTTCCAAGAATTTGTCGAAGATTAGCAATACATTTCCGAAGACTCCTAAGAAATTGGCGAATTTCTAAGGATAGCCTAGAGTTTTTGGAATGTAATCTGTATTCACAAGACTGTTGGAGTTATTTCCAAAAGAATTTCACTATTTCCAAGTGTTTCTAACGGTTTTCAAAGATTTCTTGCTCATTTCCAAGGGCTGCCAAAAGGTTGTAGGCACAACAACTGAAATGTCGTTGTTTACCATCTATAAACCAAAAATACCTGTTGCCCTACCCCCCTCTTTAATTTATTGGTTTCTGAATGCTAGATACTGTTGGCAAAAGACTAATTATTGCTATCAGAAGATTAAATACTGGTACTAAAAGACTAAAAACTGCTTGGAACGAGGAAATACTATTTCAAAAAGTTACCTACTGCTTCTAAAATGCTAGATACTGCAGAAAAAGACCACGACTTACTTTGAAAAGACAACGCTAAACACTGCTGTTAAAGATTTTGACTTACTTGGACAGGCGAAATACTGCTTCCAAGAAAACTTATTGCTTTCAAAGACTTTAATAATTGTTTGGGAAAGAGATATGCTTTCCAAAAAGCTACCTACCGCTTCCAGAATGTTAGATACTGCTGGAAAACAGTAATAACTACTTGGAAAGCTGGCTACTTGGACTGCTGGGAGAAACTATTATCTGCTTGGAAAGACAAGATACTGTTTTCAAAAGACTATTAACTACTTTCAGAATGCTAAAATATTGCTGAAAACACTTAGAGAAAGCTAGATATTGTTGGAAAAGACTATTTAATGCTTCCAGAAGACTATATACTGCTACCAAAACACTACTAAGTACTTGCAGATTACAATACCACTGGCTGAAGATTATTTACTGAAACTATTCTTCTGTTGAGTGATATCTTTCTGTGTCTCTTCTATTACAGATTTAACAATCGCTGCTAGAGCACTCGATTTTTTATAGACGGACGACTCAGCACTAGAAATATTGAGGTTTATTCGTGCGCCTAAAAATAATTTTGGTGTTTTTTGAAAGAGTTTCGACACATGGATAATAAAAAAACTTTCAGGAGTTAATGTCAACTTTAATTTTATTATTATATTCGTAACCTTTATAAAATAACCTTTAAAATGAGTCCAAACATGACGCACTTATCTCAAAAAACAAAAAAGTTTGAATAAAAAACATTAAACTTGAAGTTAGCAACAATCAAGATAGCAATTTAATTTTTAAACATTAATACCAACCTTAATTTTTTATTTTTTTTTATTATATTTTTGTTTTTGTGACAAATATTAAGACGTTTTATGAAAATTAAGAATATGTCAAAATGACATTGATATTTCTAATCGGAAGTTGCTTATATCTCGAGTAATATTGGAATTAAACATGTTTGTACTCATTTTAAAGGATTTTTCACGACGATTACAACTATGTCAAAGTTGACGTTGACATTCTTAACCGGAAGTTGATCATAACTTAATTAATGTTGAAGATAAATATGTCGTGTTTGTACTCATTTTAAAGGATTTTTCATGAAGATTACAAATATGTCAAAATTGAGGTTGGCAATTTAATTTTTAAATATTAATACCAACCTTAATTTTTTATTTTTTTATTATATTTTTGTTTTTGTGATAAATATTAAGACAGTTTATAAAAACTAAGAATATGTCAAAATGACATTGACATTTCAAATCGGAAGTTGCTTATATCTCGTGTAATATTGAAATTAAACGTATCATAAAGGATTTTTCACTACGATTACAAATATGTCAAAATTGACGTTGACATTTTAAACCTGAAGTTAATTATCATATAATAGAGGTTTTATAACTGAAGTCATTTCACATTGATAAAAAAAATCGTTGATTTTTAAGCCACATGATGATTCTTGAATTTTTCCTAAGTTTCTTAATATTTCTTCGTCCTTAATTTCATTTTACAACTTTTTAAACTTTAATTTTGTAAATTAAAAAGCCACAACTTACAGAAATATCCTGTATAATCGTAAAACAACTAACCAAGCGGATTCTGTGCTTGTGATGGCTGTCAAAAATCAGATAAAAATTCTGAGAAGTCTTATATTTTTAGAGAGATGATTCATTTGTCGCTTAGTCAAGTGATGCATAACACGGTCCAAATATTAATTCATCCAAGTTTCCATAATTTAGTAAAAAAAAATTATAGGTTACATTATACAATAATAATATGTGGAGGTTTTGAATTTCTTAATACAGATGATTATAACAAGTAAATTACCTCCTTAATTTCGTTTATTGCAAATACTTACGTGTTTTAATCATCTGTATCATTATAGGTTAAGTTTTAACTGTCACTGTCAAATATAATTCATCAAAGTTTCCATACCAACTTAATAAAAAAAAAATATAGGTTAAGTTTTAACTGTCACTGTTAAATGGACCTCGTATACAATATCACTTGACTAAGCGACATTTTATCGTTTTTAGAGATTTTCATGCTGTGTGATAGGTAAAGGTGTAACTTATCTTACAATTAGAAAAAATGCAGAATACCGAAAGACCTAAAATACCTTTTGTTTTAAAGACGAAGTAATATAAGGAGATAAAACGGCAATAGGCGACTGTGTTCCAGAATATTAATCAATATTATTATAATTTTTATTACTCCTATAATATAGAATTGGTCCAACTAAAATCAGCTGATCTGTCAGAACTAAAAATCTGTCAACTATAACCTAAAAAGTATATTTAATTTTAGTTTGCAGTTTTAACACAAGGGGCGCTGTCGTCAGAGCCACAATAAAGTCCCTAGATTTACAAAGTACCGCGGTTTGACGCCATTTTGGCTCGAAAGTCAAGCGGGAAATTTAAAACTACAAACCAAAACATTACGTCAAATTTCCTTCCTTTTTTTCTCGTGGTACTCTGAAGAGTCGAAAGTCCTTCTTACTGCCATTTTTGCAACTCCAAAGACGGCAAAATTTTTGGAAATAAGTGGCGAGATGCAGTGACAAGCTGTCAAACCGCCATTTTGGCTCGAAAACAGGCTTCATGAACTGCGGTACTTTGTAAATTTAGGGACTTTAAGCCACAAGGTATAACTCTGAATTAAGTTCGCCCTATTTTGGAGCAAATCCCCCACCACTTTTGTACGCTCGTTTTATCTCCTTATACTACTTCGTGGTTTTAAACAATAAAGCTAAGCATCATACGTCTAAGAACCGACTTACAATTGGATATGACACTTAGATACACCAAGAAATTCTACAATAGAAAAAATAGATGAATCTATAATTTCGGACCAGTGTCGTTTTCTAGATGTTAGTATAAAATTAAAAGTGTGTCTTTTATTTTATATAGAATTTAAGTTTAACTAGTTTCGGCCCTTGGCCATCTTCAGAGACTCTACAAATAGATTAACATCTCTCATCTTATCCATTTTACAAACGACAGCGGTAGGTAGTGCTACTTAGCATAACATATCATTATGTTGCATATTTTTATTGAACTAAAACTAGAAACATTCGGGTTTAGTCGTGAAAAGAACTTTCAGCTGTCAATGTCAACTTTAATTTTATTATTATATTCGTAATCTTCATAAAATAACCTTTAAAGTGAGTCCAAACACGACGCATTTCTCTCAAAAAACCAAAAAGTTCGATCTTTTAACTATTAATTTTGACATATTTGTCATCTTCATTAAAAAACCATTAAAATGAGTCCAAAGATGACGCACTTATCTCAAAAAACAAAAAAGTTTGAATAAAAAACTTTAATCCCGATGTTAGCAACAATGAAGAAGGCAATTTAATTTTTAAATATTAATACCAACCTTAATTTTTAATTTTTTTTATTATATTTTTTTTTTGTGACAAATATTAAGACATTTTATAAAAATGAAGAATATGTCAAAATGACATTGACATTTCAAATCAGAAGTTGCTTATATCTCGAGTAATATTGGAATTAAACGTATCATATTTGGACTCATTTTAAAGGATTTTTCACGGCCAT